GTTACAAACATGAATGTTATTTACAATAATTTTGAGTTCTAAGGCAGTTCAGGTCTAATTCAAATTTTTCACTACTGAGCATGTTACTGCACATATATGCAATGGATTATGGGAAAAAAATTCAAATTTTGTACTACTGAGCATGTTACTGCACATGCAAGCAATGCATTATGGAAGATAACTTCCTATTGCATCATGTAATGGAAAACTATAATCACAATGGAAACTCACTAAAATTGTCAATTTTGTGAAATGTTTTAACAATATTTAGAATTCATACAAATAATAACATGACTTTTTTTCATCATATGCGATCAAGCAAAATTTTTAGATATGGAAAAAATAATTTAATGCAAAAACCAATGCAATTGGCAATTTGCCAATTTGCATTTTCGTGACCCTTTTTTCTTCCAATATCCTAAAAGCATTATTAAACATTCACAGAATAGTCCTGTTTATAGTCTGCACTTTCCTTCAGACGATTGGGGCAAAAATTGGGCCAAATTTTTTGAATAAAAACTGAAAATTTACTTAATTTTTGTCTGTAATCACCTTGTTTACCCTCTATTATTATCTATCGCCAAATATGCTATTTTTCTTCAGAAATTTCTATTTGCTACCAAATACCCAAGCTTTAAATGTTTTGCTGGTTACCTGCAAAAATGTCCCCCTAAGCTGCTGATGATTTTGTACCTGCATTTATTTATTTTGAAGGAACCAATTATATGAATTTATATATGATTTTTTTTTTTCTAATATTTTTGTGTTAGGTGACAATTACAGACATTGAATGTCACTATTGTTTTTTCTGACATTTTATTAGTCCCAGTTCGGATGTAGTTCGAAAACGGGGACATATGGATTGACCATTCGTCCGGACCTATATCTTAGACATGCCTGGACTGATTACATTCAAACTTCACACATACATCTTACATAATGTTATACATATCCAGATCCGTTTGTTTCACGATCTGATTCAAGATGGCCAAATGGCGGCCTTTTTTGTGCTGAAAAATCATCAAAATCGAGCATTTATGGATGGATTTTATTCAAACTTGATACATACGTTGGACATTATGTGACCTTGATGCACATCATTTTATTTTTCAACCAAGATCAGATTTAAAATGGCCAACTTGCGACCATTTTGTTTAAATGAATGCAGTTCTAGTGCCATATCTCTACCATGCTTTGACTGATTATTTTTAAATTTTAGATATTCGTTATACATCATGACATAGATATACTGATATATTGGTTTTACATTCTGATTCAAAATGGCCGAATGGCCGCTATTTTTTGTGCTAAAAAATCAACAATCAAGCATTTTTGGCATTCCGGAACTGGATCTTGGCATTTATGGATGGATTTCGTTCAAATTTGTTACATACATGTAACAAACATTATGTTATTAACAAATGTTACAAACATTATGGGTTTCTGATGCGCGTCATTTTATTTTTCAGATTGGATTAAAAATGGCTGACTTGTGGTCATTTGGTTTGTTGCACATACAGGGGGTAATCTGTTCAGGGGAGTCTAAACAAAAATCCCAAAGTAGAGTTTTCTGGGAGTTTTCAGCCTTTAATTGTTTTCGCAGTGATGGTTACCAGGTGGTAAAAATGCATGAATGCACATATCTGCCCGAACATTTTATCCATAAAAGGTCAGAGTACTAGTTTGTGTTGTGTTGGCATAAGTTGCACAAGATCAGTGCTTTTACAAGAGGCATAAATATGGCAACTACAGGATAATGCACACAATGACACTGATTAGTGGTGGGCAATGTTTCAACTGAACTTTTGTGTTTTTTTTCAATAGAGCATCAACAGTTAACATTACTGAGCCATGTAAAATGGCACAATAATATACACACATATAAACATTGAGCTAATCTCTCTCTCTAATCTCGCACAAAGTTCATGAAGGATTTGGAACTGTTTACAGTACATGTGTGTATTTTCATTTTTTTTTTTTGTATCATTACAGGTAAACCGTGTGTATCGGCTGGTTTGAAAGGCATGAAAGTCTTAAAGACCACAAAGTCTGGATTTGTTGGTTTTGCTAGAGATAAATACACCACTCTACCTGAAGTTACTGACAGGTTCTTTTGTACCACAGTTTACTCAAAATGGACCTATGATGAACTACTGGGACTTGATTTTGATAGAGCTGTGTAAGTGTAAACGCTAGGCAGTTCCTAGAAATATGGGTTACATAGAAGTCTACACATAATAATGACTTGGGAATATTTATTTTAGTTGGTATAATACAAATCTATTTTCTTTTAGCACTGCTGTCATTAAAGATGACAGGCAAAACTATTGGTATAGGTGGTTATTCATTGTTCATCCTGCATTCTAGTTTGTTTTCAAATTACTTCTTCTTGATATCTTGAATTCTCTAATTCTTTAATTTCAGTGAATAGTTTTTTAATTTTTGGTGAAATTGCTATTTTTGACTTCTTTTTGAAAACTGCTACTCCAATTGCTTTGACAATTGATATATGTGTAAGTTTGGTGGACCTATATTAGATTAGTTCATTTCATGAAATTAGGGGAACACTTGGGAGATATACATTCATTATTCAATTTGGTATTATTCTTGTTTGAACTGTAGCCACAAACCCTCCATCAACCTGTTTTCAACTGCACTGAACACCAAGAGACCAGTGTTTAATGAGATTTAGAGTCCTTGTAAGACAGCTTATACCTTTATGGAAATAATGCAGTTTATAAGAAATAATGCAGTTAGTGTGCTTTTGGCTCATG